GGTGTCAGTGCCCACAGGGGGCGGCGGGGGGGGGGGGGGGGAGATTCCGAAAGAGGTCGTGCACTGTACCTTTTTTTGAGGAGGATGGGAAGGGGGGGGGGGGCTTTAGGGTTTAGGGTTTAGGGAACATACAACAGTCTGCATTCTGGTTGCCCTCAACCCTAAACCCAAAACCCTAAACTCTAAACCCTAAACCCTAAACCCTAAACCCTAAACCCTAAAACCCTAAAACCCCAAAACCCTAAACCCTAAACCCTAAACCCTAAACCCTAAACCCTAAACCCTAAACCCTATGGAAAGGGACCAGAGAGCAGGCTTGTCGCTCGACATGGCCTCCGAAGTGACCCCGTCGAGCTCCAAGGTCTGGGTTTTTTGCATTCTAATGAATTGCCGGGACGGTTGAGGGTTGAGGGTTGAGGGTTTAGGGTTTAGGGTTTAGGGCTTAGGGCTTAATTAGGGTTTACGGTTTAGGGTCTCGGGTTTAGGGTTTAGGGTTTAGGTGTTGGGATCTTTGGGCTCGAGATGGTTCGAGTGTAGTTGCGACCTAGGTTCAGCGCTAATACGTCGCGTGGCTCAAGGGTTCACTCGTGAAGCGTCACAAGCCGCGCCTTCTTCACGACCCTAAACCCTAGCTCCTAAACCCTAACCCCTACCCCCTAAACCCTAAACCCTAAACCCTAAACCCTAAACCCTAAACCCTGAACCCTAAAGAGTAGACTTCGGAGCTGACCCGCCTCGTCGGGGCAACGCCGTCTAAATCTCGATTTCCAGTGTGTTCCCCGGCCACAATCATCTTTTCGAGATTCTTAGCCTTGCTTAACGAGTGCCCTATTGAGAAACAAAGTATGTCCGGGCCCGAAGCATTGTGACTCAAGATGAGAGCACCGAGTTGTGTGAGCCAATTGCTCATTTCATCTCCCTGCTTCGGGCCTCCACGGTTTTTGGTCGTCCCTCGAATGCGCGATGATGTCATGGCCCAAGAGCTTGTTGAAGCTGAGGCCCTTAAAGTCGGGATCCTCCTAGATGCTCAAGGTAAACTTTGGAGAAGAAGCAAAAGCCTCCACTTCCAGATGCCTGCAGCATGCTTCGTTCTGCCTTGCCTTACAGAGAAATGCTCCCCAGCACGCGTGGGACGACGAGTTTCTTGACGAACCCACCGCTGCAGCAGCGCGAAATGCTAAACATGCTCAACTGTCAAGAACGGCTGGGCAAAGGATGGTGCCTTATATGAATCTACTATACTATACCCCAAAACCCTATTCGAATCATTAAGGTTTAGGGTTTAGGGTTCAGGGTTCAGGGTTCAGGGTTTAGGGTTTAGGGTTTAGGGTTTAGGGTTGCAAGCTAGCACGACTCGGAACAGCCCTCAGCTGCACGAGCCGCGTGCATTCCACGAGGCATTGCGCCTGAATGCTGGAAATGTCGATGAGTGTTGAGGGGTTTAGGGGTCAGGTGTCAAGGAGGGTCCCTACACCCGAAACCCTAAACTTCATAAACCCTAAACCCTAAACCCTAAACCCTGAACCCTAAACCCTAAACCCTAAACCCTAAACCCTAAACCCTTAACCCTAAACCCTAAACCCTAAACCCTAAACCCTAAACCCTAAACCCTAAACCCTAAACCCTAAACCCTAAACCTTTAGCGCGCAAAAGGGCCTGGATCCCCATGCCAGGATGGCCTCGGGCCCGCCTCAACATCGAGTCCCGGAGGCGGCGTTGGAACCCCAAATTCGAAGCCCTAGCCCTGGTTCTTAGGGTTTTAGGGTTTAGGCTTTAGGGTTTAGGGTTTGGGGTTTAGGGTTTGGGGTTTAGGGTTTGGGGTTTGGGGTTTAGGGTTTAGGGTTTAGGGTTCAGGGTTTAGGGTTTGGGGTTTGGGGTTTAGGGCTAGGGTTTCGGGTTTAAGCTTTAGGGTTCGGTTTAACCTTGGTTCGTAGTAGGGAATGGGGGAGTGAAGTACCCTATACAATCCCTTGAAGGATATATATATATATATATATATGCATATGTATGCATATATATATATATGTATATATATATATATATATATTCAGGGGGGGATATAGGGAACCTCATTCCCTAATTTCCTACTAAGAACCTGCGAGCCTTGCGAGGGGCAGGGTTTGGGGGCTTGGGGGGGTTAGGGGTTTAAGGATTTAGGGTTTTAGGGTTCTAGGGGTTTATGGGGGTTAGGGATTTAGGGTTTTTCGGGGTTTAGGGATTTAGAGTTTTAGGGTGTAGGTCACTGTGTTGCTTGGTTCGCAGATCACGATTGACTGGAAACAACGCTTTGATGACATCATTGGCACCATGTCTGCCATTCTTGTTAAGTTCGTTCACTGATTGATAACCTCTCGTTCTCCGGATTTACCATTGTGTTCTTGCTTTCCGTGCGCTAAGTTGTCTCACCTTCATATTGATCTGACACCTCGAGTCCGTAAACCCTGACCCTAGACTCGAAACCCGAAACCCTAAACCCCAAACCCCAAACCCTAGGAAGAAAGACCAGAATTCTGAGGTGAAGATGGTAGCTCCCGTTGTTGAGCCGTGAGGGGCCCCAAGTAACTCCCAACACGAATTTAGAAGCCCCTGAGCCCTAAACCCTAAGCCCAAGAACCTTTAAGCCACAAACCCTAAGCCCGAAATAGCCTTCGGGCTGAGGGTTTAGGTTTGCAATCAGGGCTTAGGGCTTCGGGTTGTAGCTTTAGCTGAGGGATACAAGAAGGGACCCCTAGAAGGCACCATCAAGTCTGGTTCCCCTCTATCACCCATAGTCCCTACATACCTCAGTAGCCCCTAAATCGCCCCCAAAGAAATTGAAAGGTCACTTACAAGGATCCCTCCTTTAGTCCTTAGGGTTTAGGGTTTAGGGTTTAGGGTTTAGGGTTTAGGGTTGAGGGCCTGCGCTCCCCTCTCCCCCCCCCCGCCGGGAGGCTACCGGAACACCCGCTTCGCGGACTCCTCGGCCTCTGAGGCCATTAACGTAGGGGAAAGGTTTGGAGGGTTTAGGGTTTAGGGTTTAGGGTTTAGGGTTTAGGGTTTAGGGTTCAGACTTCTAGGAGTTATATGTTTCTTAGGGTTTTTAGGGTTTATAAGGTTTAAAGGGTTTCATCCTGAAGCGATGGCCGTAACCAACACCAGATCGTGAGAAGCATTCTCATATTCTCATTGAACCCTAAACCCTAAACCCTAAACCCTAAACCCTAAACCCTAAACCCTAAACCCTAAACCCTAAACCCTAAACCCTAAACCCTAAACCCTAAACCCTAAACCCCTGCACCTCCGCTCTGAAGGCAACGAGGAAGCCCTCAGCCCTGTAAGCCCTACAACCCCGAAGCCCTAAACCCCGAAGCCCTAAACCCTAAAGCCTAAACCCTAAACCCTAAACCCTAAACCCTAAACCCTAAACCCTAAACCCTAAACCCTAAACCCTAAACCCTAAACCCTAAACCCTAAACCTTGTCTGTGGAACTTAGCAGCCTGCAGGTGCCCTTGGGCATCTTACCTGGCCGCGAGGCTCGGGCGGAGGGGGGGGTGTGGCGGGGGGGGCGGGGGGTTGCAATGCCCAGGAAGAATAGCCACTTGACCTTGGGGTTTAGGGTTTAGGGTTTAGGGTTTAGGGTTTAGGGTTTAGGGTTTAGGGTTTAGGGTTTAGGGTTTAGGGTTTAGGGTTTAGGCTTGGGGGCGGGGGGGGTTGCAATGCCCACGAGGAGCAGGTCAAACATGGTGGCTGAGTGAGGTGGAGGTGAGGCCCCTGGATCGGCTTTAGGGTTTAGGGTTTTAAGGGTTTAGGGTTTAGGGCTTAGGGTTGAGGGTTAAGGGTTTAGGGTTTTAAGGGTTAAGGGTTTGGGGCTTAGGGTTGAGGGTGCAGGGTTTAGGGTTTAGGGTTTAGGGCACATGTTGTGAGGGGATATGCGCCGACCATGTGGTGCTGCACTTGTGGCGATGTGCTTCGCATACGGCAACGCAGTGACGAGTTGCCAGAGGGTCCGACGGCTAAACTCGAAACCCTAAAACCCAAACCCCTAGAACCCTACACCCTAAACCCCCCACAACCCTAAAAACCCTAAAAAGCCTAAAAAGCCTAAAAACCCTAAAAACCCTAAACAAGCACTGAAAACCCTAAAAAACCCTGAAACCCTAAAACCCTAAGAACCCTAAAACCCTGAACACTATTTCTGGCTTTCCAACTCCCATGGCCCGGTTTCAGGACGGACGCGCCCGTCTTACGCAGAGTCGCCTCGCAAGAGGTGGGGGGGCCTGCAGGATGGAACTGTTGGGGGGTTTTGGGTTTTTTTTTGGGCTTTTGGGTTTTTTGGGGGGTTTTGGGGTTTTGGGGTTTTTGCAGTTTTGGGGTTTTGGGTTTTGTTTTTTTTGGGGTTTTGGGTTTTTTTTTGGGCTTTTGGGTGTTTTTGGGGGTTTTGGTGCTTTTGGGTTTTTGTAGTTTTGGGGTTTTGGGTTTTGTTTTTTTTGGGCTTTTGGGGTTTTGGTGTTTTTGGGTTTTTGTAGTTTTGGGGTGATGATGGCGATGACGATGACGATGATGACAGCGATGTTCATGAGGATGACGACAGTGATGATGATGATGATGATGATGGTGATGGTGATGGTGGTGATGATGACGCTGATGGTGGCGATGACGAGGGTGATGGCGACGACAACGACGACGACCACGACGACCATGATGACGAAGGTTGTGATCGCGATAGTATCAACAGAATGCAAAGTCAACAACCAATATTGTTTATGTTTTTCAATATTAGATATTCCAAGCTGTACTTGCAGATTTTGTATATACGAATTCGTTCATCTTGGGATGCGCCTTGCAGCCTTGCACCCTCTACTGGCTGGTTCTTCGTAGGGAATGAGGGAATGAGGGCCCTCATTTATATTCCCTTAAAGGGTACCCTAAACCCTAGACCCTAAACCCTAAACCCTAAACCCTAAACCCCAGTCTAGCCTTGTAGCCAACATCAGGGGATGCCGCACCCGCCTGGTCCGCCATGGAGGAGGAGGCCCTTTGTCGTGTTTGTTCAACCCTAAACCCTCTGAACCCTCTAACCCCTCTGAACCCAAACCCACTAAACCCTCTAAACCCTCTAAACCCTCTAAACCCTCTAAACCCTCTAAACCCTCTAAACCCTCTAAACCCTCTAAACCCTCTAAACCCTCCAAACCCTCTAAACCCTCTAAACCCTCCAAACCCTCTAAACCCTCTAAACCCTCTAAACCCTCTAAACCCTCTAAACCCTCTAAACCCTCTAAACCCTCTAAACCCTCTAAACCCTCTAAACCCTCTGACCCCTCTAAGCCCAAAACCCTAACCCTACACCCTAAACCCTAAACCCTAAACCCTACACCCTCAACCGACTGCATGATTATGGGCCAGGGAGTTGAATCTGGAGGGTGGCGTTAGAAGTCTAAGAGTCCCTACCTGCTTTGGGGGTTTTGGGGGTCAGACTCTACTCTGCTCTGAGACTTTCCGGGAGGGCTTAGGTATCCCTATAGAGAGAGAGAGAGAGATCATTTAGAAGCCCTCAACCCTGAACAGGGTTTAGGGTTTAGGGCTTCGGGTTAAGGGTTATCGCCCCAACCCCCAAACTAAAGATCAGACTACAACAGCCCGCGGCCCCGCAATCTGCGCCACGCCGGCGGATGGACAACACACAGCCCAAGAACAGTGGTTTAGGGTTTAGGGTTTAGGGGCTTCGAGGTTTAGGGTTTGGGGTTTAGGGTTTAGGGGTTTAGGGTTTAGGGGTTTAGGGTTTAGGGTTGAGGGCTTTTGGCCCTTGGAGACCAAACTGAGCTTACAGCTCAAATCTCCATGGGGCGCATGAATGGGTGTAAGCTCGATGCGAGCAGGTCGTTGCAGCAGCAACAGGCCACTACACTTCAAACAACAACCCTAAACCCCTAAACCCTAAACCCTAAACCCTAAACCCTAAACCCTAAACCCTAAACCCTAAACCCTAAACCCTAAACCCTAAACCCTAAACCCTAAACCCTAAACCCTAAACCCTAAACCCTAAACCCTAAACCCCTAAACCCTAAACCCTAAACCCTAAACCCTAAACCCTAAACCCTAAACCCTAAACCCTAAACCCTAAACCCTAAACCCTAAACCCTAAACCCTAAACCCTAAACCCTAAACCCTAAACCCTAAACCCTAAACCCCTAAACCCCTAAACCCCTAAACCCCTAAACCCGAAACCCTAAACCTGAGATTTAGACCCTAAGCGCTCTTGGCCCTGCTCCAGGCCCAACAGCGCTGGAACCGAGCGTTGCAGCTGTCGCCTAAGGCTCCGTTCCGGAGAGGGGAGATCCCAGGTTTGTGCTTGGGAGATCCCAGGTTTGTGCTTGGCGCAGGGCTTCGTGTTGAAAGGATGGGCTTAGGGTTTAGGTTTCAGGGTTTGTAGGGTTTAGGGTTGAAGGATTTAGGGTTCAGGGTTTGGGGGTTTAAGGGTTTAGGGGTTTAGGGCTTAGGCTTTAAGAGTTGTGCAACAGAGTGCTTTCAGCATTGAAGGGCGTTTGCTTACGGTTTCGCGGTGAACGGCTCGGCCTTCGGTGTTTGGTTTTTTGTTTCTGCCTGCTGAGGTTCCTGCTTGCACATGTTTACGCTAACCCCCATCCCTTCCCAACAATCCTAGGTAGGATAAGGGGGACCCTTAACAGGGAACCCCTTCTTAACCCTCTTCTGGCTTTCTTAAACAGGGACCTTACTCAGAGGGTCTGTGTCCCCAAGGGTCCCCCTAATTCTATCCCCTAAACAAGCAAAAACCCCATAAGCCCTATAAACCCCCCACAAGCCCTAGGATAGGCCCCCCTGAACCCTAGACCCTTAACACAGTGGACTCTGTTATATAGGCCCTTTTCGCCCCAGAGGGCCTTCTGTACCCAAAGCAGAGACCGAAACCTCCAGAATTTCTGTGGCAGGCGACCTCTGACAACCTCTCCAGGCTAGGGAAGGGGAGTCAAGTTTAAGGTTTCGGGTTTCGGGCTAAGGGTTTCGGCTTCTATACCCTAAACCCTAAACCCTAAACCCTAAACCCTAAACCCTAAACCCTAAACCCTAAACCTAAACCCTAAACCCTAAACCCTAAACCCTAAACCCTAAACCCTAAACCCTAAACCCTAAACCCTAAACCCTAAACCCTAAACTGCACCACATGTCTAAGCCGCCGCAAAGACTCTGCGTGCGGGTCCTTGTTGAAGCCTTGAGTGCAAGAACTGGTGCAGGGATCCGCGGATCGATGGGTTGCGGGTTTCATTAGGGTTTGGGGATTGGGGTTTTAGGGTTTGGAGTTTGGGGTTTAGGGTTTGGGGTTCAGGGTTTGGGGTTTAGGGTCTAGGGTTTGGGGTTTGGGGTTTAGGGTTTAGGGTTTGGGGTTTAGGGGGTCTGGGGTTTAGACGGTTTAGGGTTTTATGACCGTAGTTACCCTACCTACAGTTCCAATTGCAAGGAATGACCTAAACCCTAAACCCTATAACCCTATAACCCTATAACCCTAAACCCTAAACCCTAAACCCTAAACCCTAAACCCTAAACCCCGAAAGCCTCCGAGTCGATTCCTACTTGCAGCTTCTTTCGGCTCGCTGAGCTCTTTCGAAGGCCCCATGATGTGACCTAAACCCCCCCCATTCCCGGCTCCTAGGGCTTGGGGTTTAGGGTTTAGGGTTTAGGGTTTAGGGTTTAGGGTTTCTGGTTCAGGGTTTAGAGTCTCCCCGCCCTACATAGAGTCTGCCAAAATCCCACCAGGATGTGCACAACCTTCCTGCCGCAGTGTGACTCTTTGGTCGCCTTTGTCTTTGGACCCAAGCATGTCGATCAACAACGCAACGGGTAGCGACCTACAGTAAGCATGTGCAAGTTCGCCCCTAAACCCTCAACCATAAACCCTAAACCCTGAAACCTAAACCCTGAAACAAGGGGGCTCTTTCCACATGCGCCTTTGCAGCTCGAAGAGTCTGGATGCTAAAGCTGTTGCGTGATGGGACCGGCCAGCTAGATCCAACACAGAACAAGGCTTATCACGAGGTCGTTTACGGTTTAGGGCTTAGGGTTTAGGATTCAGGGTGTAGGATTTAGGGTTTAGGGTTTAGGGTTTAGGATTTAGGATTTAGGGTTTAGGGTATAGGGTTCCAGACGCCATCCCTGGCGCTCAGCGCCACGCTGCACAGCCATGATCTCCCTGGATCCCGGCGACGTGCCATGCTACATGCTGCTGCAGCTCGATGGCTTTACTTCCTGTTAGTTTGCAGGGAATGAGGGATTTAGGGCCCCTAATTATATATATATATATATATACCCTTTAAGGGACTATATAGGGTATATATATATATATATAATTAGGGGCCCTTTAAGGGATTATATAGGGTACCTCATTCCCCCATTCCCTACTTCCTAATCACCAACAGTAAGGTTAACCACAAACCACCAAAGCTCTTGGGGTTCCACCTTCCAATCCAAGCTGAGCACCCTAAACCCTAAACCCTAAACCCTAAACCCTAAACCCTAAACCCTAAACCCTAAACCCTAAACCCTAAACCCTAAACCCTAAACCCTAAACCCTAAACCCTAAACCCTAAACCCTAAAGTCTGCTATTCACAGTTTCTATATGGCCCCCTAAAGCAGGCGGGTTCTCCGTCTTGTTTAAGCTCAAGTTCCCATCATGCTGAGGCCTCGCATGGGGTTTAGGGTTTAGGGTTTAGGGTTTAGGGTTTAGGGTTTGGGGTTTAGGGTTTAGGGTTTAGGGTTTAGGGTTTAGGGTTTAGGGTTCTTGCAGAAGATAGCCGTGGAACATTTGTTTACTTCGCCGTAGGATGCGGCAGGAGAGAGACTACCGGAGCTCACCGGTTTCCAGAGACCACACGCCAGAACGTAGTTGGGGATTTGCGATATTAAGGGGTACCTCAATGGGGTCCCTTTGATAAGGGGATTGTGCTATTTGGGGTGTATGTTAGGGGTCCCCATTTTTCGCAAACCCTAAACCCTAAACCCTAAACCCTAAACCCTAAACCCTAAACCCTAAACCCTAAACCCTAAACCCTAAACCCTAAACCCTAAACCCTAAACCCTAAACCCTAAACCCTAAACCCTAAACCCTAAACCCTAAACCCTAAACCCTAAACCCTAAACCCTAAACCCTAAACCCTAAACCCTAAACCCTAAACCCTAGACCCTAGACCCTAGACCCTAAACCCTAGACCCTAAAACCCCCATGTTCAGGCACATAGCCACATGCTCGTATCGCTGAGGAAGGGGCTGCAAGTCCCTCGCGTGATCGGGAAGGCTGGCGCCATAATCAAAGAGCTCCGGCAGGAGAGCCTGGGCAAGATTTTGGATTTAGGGTTTAGGGTTTCGGGTTTAGGGTTTAGGGTTCGGGGTTTAGGGTTTAGGGCTTAGGGTTTAGGGTTTAGGGTTCAGGGCAAGGAATCCCAAGAACTCTGAGCCAAAAGGGTCGATTGCTGCCGGGGCTCAGAGCTTGACGGTTCTCCGCGGCCTCTGTCTGAAAATGCAAGGTGTGTGTGTGTGTGTGTGTAGGGTTTAGGGTTTAGGGTTTAGGGTTTAGGGTTTAGGGTCTAGGGTCTAGGGTTTAGGGTCTAGGGTTTAGGGTTTAGGGTTTAGGGTTTAGGGTTTAGGGTGAGCTGCTCAACCGAAGCCACCTTCAGAAAGAGCCAAGATCATGCCACGAGCAGCCTGGTCTTGATGGATTCTTGGTCTAGGGGTTTGGGGTTTAGGGTTCAGGGTTTAGGGTTAAGGGTTTAGGGTTTAGGGCTTAGGGTTTAGGGTTTAGGGTTTAGGGTTCAGGGTACAGGGTTTAGGGTTTGGGGTTTAGGATTCTTGCTGCAAAACCACTGGCGCCTCGAAACTCCTTCTTTCTCTAAGGAGTGGAGCTAATGTGAACATCTTGGACAAACAGCTGCCCGAGGCATTGCTCCTTTTTTTTTTTTTTTTTTTTTGGGGGGGGGGGGCTGTTTTTTGTGCTTGAAATTGTTTCTCTCTTTTTCCTCTTTGTAGTTTCTGAACTCTCGCTCCCTCTCTCTCTCTCTCTCGCTCTTTCTTTTCTTGTTGGTGCGCCCTGGCCTCCAAGCTTGAATGCAATGAGGGTGTCCTTGTTAACCCTGAAACCTAAGCCCTGAACCCTGAACCCTAAGCCCTAAAACCCGATATTATACAAAGGCGCCGTGTTTTTTCAGGTCAGCCTAGGGACATTTGCTTGTGCAACCATTCGGGTTTAGGGTTTGGGGTGTAGTGTTTACAACCCCTGTAAACCCTAAACCCCAAACCCCAAACCCCAAACCCTAAACCCCAAACCCCAAACCCTAAACCCTAAACCCTAAACCCTAAACCCTAAACCCTAAACCCTAAACCCTAAACCTGTATTGTTGACAAAAGGTGCTCCAGCGTCTCCAACTCCACGTGGCCTTCGTCAAAGGCAGCCGAGAAGCCATGCACTCTGCCGTGGTGGGTGGCCCATCTTGAATGTGGGGTTTAGGGTTTAGGGTTTAGGGTTAGGGTTTAGGGTTTAGGGTTCATAGGGTTCATAGGGTTCATAGGGTTCATAGGGTTCATAGGGTTCATAGGGTTCATAGGGTTCATAGGGTTTAGGGTTTAGGGTTGCGGGTTTCGGGTGTGGTTACTTTGTTGCCCAAAGGTGGGTCCCTTTTTGGGGTCCTTTTGGGGACCTAGGCTATATCTGAGGGCATACCCATGCGGGTTGTGTAGAATTTGGGTGCTAGGTTCAAAACCCTAAACTCGGGCCCATAGTCGACATCAGTTTGATCTATATCGTGGGCACTTTGGATTTAGGGTCTAGGGTTTGGGGTTTAGGGTTTGGGGGGGGGAACTGAGCCCACCAGCAGAATACCAAGGGCTCTTGGGGCTGTGCCCCGAGATCTGTCCTTTGTGCCCTGCACCAGCTTTTGCGTCCTCAGCCCCCAACTGCCCTAAACCCCAAACCCCAAACCCCGAAACCCTGAACCCCAAACCCTGGGCCCTAAACCCCAGACCCCAAACCCTAAATCCCAAACCCCGAACCCCAAACCCTAAACCCTAAACCCCACACCCCAAACTCTGAACCCTAAACCCCAAACCCTAAACCCTAAACCCCAAGCCCTAAACGCTAAACCCCAAACCCTAAACCCCAAACCCTAAACCCTAAACCCCAAGCCCCAAAACCCGAGGCCTGGTCCGAAATGCCCGGGGTCCGCAAGCCCTCCGCGCGCTCGAGAGTTCCGAGGCAGCCCACTGGTTCCCTGGAGATTTTGTTTAGGGTTTAGGGTTTAGGGTTTAGGGTTCAGGGTTTGGGGTTTGGGGTTTGGGGTGTGGGGTGCCAACATAGGGTTTTCGCCCGGGGGGGGGGGGGGGGGGGGGGGGGGGGGGGGGGGGACGGTTCCGGTGGTTTGCCAGGGAGAGGCCTAAACCCCTAAACCCGAATTCTTACATCCTGAACCCTGAACCCAGAGCCCTTAATCCTGAAACCCTGAAACCCTGAAACCTTGAAGCCCTAAACCCTAACCCCCCAAAAAACCTAAACTCTGGAATTCATGCACTGCCTCGCAGAAGCTGCTGGGCGAACTAGAAGCCCAGAAGCCACCCCTTTGCCCAAGACCCGTTTGACAAGCCCTGTGCAGGTCGGTGATACGGAAGTGGCCTTCCTGGTACCAGCAGAAAGGCATAATTTTGGCAGAGCTTTGTGGTATGATTGTGTTGGGTCTCGGGCGATAGGGGTCAACTATGTTCCATTAGGATTTTTTAGGCGTCTGACCGTCTGCTGGGGCAACACCCCAAAGCACCAACACCCCAAAACCCCCAGAATCCCGAAACCCCCAAACCCCTAAACCCTGAACCCTGAACCTTGAAACCCTAAACCCCAAACCCTAAACCCTAAACCCTGAACCCTGAAACCCTGAAACCGCTGCGCGCCAAGGCAAAGTGCGACCCGTACTTGGGGG